TCCCATGTGGGTGCAGGGCTCAAGGACCTGGGCCATCCTCCACTGCACTCCCGGGCCACAGCAGAGAGCTGGCCTGGAAGAGGGGCAACCGGGACAGAATCTGGCGCCCCGACCGGGACTAGAACCCGGTGTGCCAGCGCTGCAAGGCGGAGGATTAGCCTATTGAGCCGCAGTACCGGCCCCTAGTGGTGTCTTAACCATTATGCCAAATGCCTGGCACAGCACCATTTTTCAAAGCATGAGATCATGTTCAATTTAACTAAACATTCCAAGTATCACCACTGTTTTAATTTATTTAGTTCTACAGTCATTAAAAATTTTCAAAACAGTAACAATTCTAACAGCCTGAATGTATTATTTATGATACACCAGGCAATATCCTGAAAGGTTTAGGCGTCCTAATCCATTTACTCCTCACAACTACCCTGAAAGCTAAGTATTACTGTTGTCTTTACTTCACAGCTAAGGAAACTGAGGTGCTGAATGGCTACACCACTCGCTTGAAGTCACCCAGCTGCAAATCCTCACCAGGGGGTTTAGTTTTGGAACTCACACTCTTCATAAAATTAGACTTAAACACTGGTGTTTTCTGTCCTCAGTGCAACTCCGGCCATGAATGTTGCCTACAGGATTGGTTTCCATTTTGACGCGGCACTCACTACAGAGACACAGTTTGGCTCTGGCTCTCCGTCTGCAGCCTTGGCTGTAATTACGGAGCACAAACAAGACATGGAATTGACTGAGATGACCTAACGTAGTGAGATCTATGGAGGCGGTGGTGATGAAATAAAGCAGCATTTTCATTTTTGGAGTTTCCCTCCTGCTATCCTTCAAATAATAAAGTAACTGAGGAGTCAAGAAAAAGAAACGCAAAGAGAGAGAGAAAAAAAAACCCAACAACCTGTTTCTGATTTGTTTGGGACTTCAGCCAAGATTTTGGCAATCAGGGTTGCATTTTCAGCGTGTTCAAAGCAGGCATTCTTTTTTGAAATAACTTGGAGACAAAAAATTGAAACTGTAAAATATGTCATGCTAGCTGCTCTGTTAAAAGATTTTTCACTTGTAGAATAATTTAAATAAAAGAAAAATATTCATTACAGTTTATACTTTGAAGACCACCTGAGTATAAAACCCAAATAAAAACAAAATACCAAAGGCATGAATGAGAACAAATGCTTCATACATATTTTATGCCCTATAATAAGGGATTTAATTAAGAAAGAAGATGAAGAATGTGATATATAAAAGCTAGAAGAACCGTAAAACATAGCTGAGAATGTGTCAAAGAGGAGAAGCTTCTAACACACAGTATATTAGAATAAGATTCACAGGGGCCAACGTTGTGGCACAGCGGATAAAGCTGCCGCCTGCAGTGCTGGCATCCAATATGGGTGCCGGTTTGAGTCCCAGCTGCTCCACTTCTGATCCAGCTCTCTGCTGTGGCCTGGGAAAGCAGTAGAAGATGGCCCAAGTGCTTGGGCCCCTGTACCTGTATGGGAAACCCGGAAGAAGCTCCAGGCTCCTGGCTTTGGATCAGTGTAGTTCTGGCTGTTGTGGCCATCTGGGAAGTGAACCAGTGGATGGAAGACTCTCTCTCTCTCTCTCTCTCTCTCTGCCTCTCCTCTCTCTGTGTAACTCTCTCAAATACATAAATAAAACTTAAAAAAATGATTCACAGTCACTGTTTTAGTTATTTAAATACTATTAGAGTTTAATGATTAAGAAGAAAAAGCAGTTTATGTCACCTGAGCTTTGGGGCATCCCTGGATATTTTTGTCTATTCTTTAATAATACTCATCTCTGATTTTTTAACAGAGAGCATAGAACTCTTCTCTGACAGTTTCTCTAAAATACATCTTGACTATTGTATATAAAGTTGAAATTCCTAGACACTTAAGGCAAATGACCTGGGTTTTTTTCTCTAGATTTCATGAAATTACCTTTATTCTCCCCATTCTTACAAATTTCCTAGCTTGCCTCTCCCCTTCGTGTCTATCTGCTCTTCATCTTTTCCATCCTTATTTACTCAGTTATTTCTTAATATTTATTTCACTTCCCATATAAAGCTCTCACTCCTAGGAAAAATCTCGGCATGTCCCCTCTTGATACATTTCATCTCTGCTCTTTTTCAGTGAGAGTTCATTTTCCCCAGTTTCTCATGGAAATCAAATAGTAGAAAAGTGGTGCTCAGTCCTATGCCTGTTCTGAACACTCACCTCACATACTGATCTCTCTTTTCTATAAAGACATGAGATCGTGTTGATTTCAGAGTAGTAAGGTTGTGTTCACTTAGGTATTGTTCTATTACTCACTGCTTTCTTTTTTTTTTTATTTAATGAATATAAATTTCCAAAGTACGACTCATGTGTTACAATGGCTTCCCCCCCCATACTGTCCCTCCCACCCACAACCCTCCCCTTTCCCACTCCCTCTCCCCTTCCATTCACATCAAGATTCATTTTCGATTATCTTAATATACAGAAGATCAGCTTTATTACTCACTGCTTTCTGTAACTTCCATTTTAGGCTGTAAGATATCAGAAGGAACCCAGTCCCAGGTGTCAATAACCACCCTGCATTTTTATTTTGTATCTTTTTTCTCAAACAATGGATGGGGCATGCAGCCAAAATAATGAACAGGAAATTTCAGCAGGAAATTAGAATTAGGAAAGGAAGTAAGACGGAACAAGAAGTCTCTAGATTCCTCCCATTGGTTTTGGGGTTCTGATGGGGACACATATTTTTAACCCTGGACAATCACCAAAAGTGAAATGAATATTGGATTTTGTACAAACAGGAAGAAGTTGAAAAAAAAAAAAAACTTGTAGGTTGTGCACAACCCTGTCTAAATGATGAGAGTGTTCGAAGGAATGGACTTGGATCCCATCCTCTCTTCTTGCCAGTTTTACTCTAAGAATATCTTTCCCCTCCCTCAGTACTTGGTCATAAAGTCCGACTCTTAGTTTTTAAGGCGAATGTTCAGGGTTATGGACAGAGGAGGAAATTTCTGCTACAGCAGCTTTGTGCTAGGACTCCTGTCTCTTACATGAGGGCAAATAGCACCGTAAGAAGACAGCTCTGCAGTTATGTGTTAACTTTGAAACACAATCTCTTTGCTGGAGAAGTCGTCAGTGGTTTGTGCCGATTCATTTCCCTGCCACTGCTCTTACCTGGGAGGAGACACACTGCAACACAGTAACCTCTCCGGTCTTTGGTGTGTGTTGGGTGTACAGAATCATTGTAGCGTACCTATCATGGGAGTGACTTGGAAGACGGTATTCCAACTTGGAGAATAAAAATGCTCAGGGGGCAAATGACTTCTGTTAAGGGAAATACTACTGTCAAGTTAGAGAGATTTCCAAAGGCTTTGCTCAGTCAAGTGAACTGTCGGGATTGGGATGCCAGAGCCCACGGGTGGATGAGCTGTGCTGGTTGTGCTAACCATTAGGGGCTGAGCCGGCTGGTGGGCTGGACAACAGAGGGGCTGAGTGCAGTGGCTAGCTCTGACAAGTAGATGTCTTTATAGGGCTCTCTCACTGTCAGTTGTTTGCAGGTCAAGATAATGAGAACCCCAAGCATAGGTTAAGGTTAAATACACTATTTCTCTCAAACTCTAAAGTTAGCTCCAATAATCTATTGATAAGTATTGACAGGGTAAAGCTCAAACTCCAGGTTTTGTTTTTTTTTTTTTAAACTTCTTACTTATAAATAAAGAATTACAGATGTATGCAGTTCCAGGCTAATTTTAACTCTTTTACTCGTTCCCCTTGCTCCTTGCCCTCCTCCCCCCCACAGGTTTTAGAAGCAATAAAAGATTTTATTGAGCTAAAGTCATGGCTATTTCATTTCATTATGACTAGTATACTTTACAAATAAAATAAATCATTGGCAAATAAAATGCTGTACTTTAATGATCTGAAAATATAACATCTTTTTAAACAGTCACTTAGGTATTTTGCCGATTTCACCAATTACTTGTCACACTCTGGCTGGAAATTCTGAACCGCTCCACTCATTTATTAACTCAGCCAGGGAACTGTTTTTAAAAATTTATGAGAATGCTTGTGGTCAAATTCCTTCGTTGCCTTTACATATGAGTAAGTGGAGAGAATGCTTTCCAATCATTCACTGGTACAAGCACCTGTCTTGTATTTTGCACCCTAACTGTAACTATGACACTAATTGGCTTGCTTCTCAACACCTTCTTGATCATATTGCCTGAATTTGGCCTGTCAGGCAAAGGGATATTTTGCGATCATGTTTTAAAATGAAACTATTATAGACCAGATGGCATTATTGGGTGGTCACACTTTGAAAAAGAAAATGCATTACAAGTTTTAATTGTAGGTGGGAAAATAGAATTCATTTTGGTCTGCAGTGAAGGCTAACACACATCATTTGTTTGGACCTCGAAGCAGAGCGAGTGTTTACTCTACAGCAGGGCCCCTGAATGTGGGGTTTAACTCCAGCACTCTGGCCCCGGTGACTGTGCAGGATGATCTATTGGACAAAACATGGTTAACATCCATGTATAGGCTATTTATTTTTGATTAAGAAGAACGCAATTAAGTTCTGCAAATATCTGTGTGGACTCACGCTGACTCCCACTTCATTCCACACGCCATGTGGGCTGAGGGGAGCCTGGGACTTCCACAGTGGGCATGAGTTGGCAGAGTCTTTTTCAGTCATTCATGCCTCTCGGCATTTATGTGTATATTTGAATTTACTTATGGATGAACATAAGTAAGCTTAAGAGAGTTAAAAGATCTGTTACCTCATTTGAAAAGAAATTTGATTAAAAATAGTACCTAGTAAGTCCAGAAAGAGTGAGAGCAAAAAAAAAAATTGGGTATTTTCCCCAGTCTGAATGTGAACTATGGATATGCTAACAGATTTGGCAGAATGTCTGTCTCCATCCCCTCCAACATGAAATGACCAATAATATATTAAAATACAGATATACACGCATCCTTTTTTTTTTTTTTAAGATTTTGTTTATTTGTGAGATAGAGCTACAGACAGACAGAGGGAGAGACAGAGAGAAAGGTCTTCCATGTTGGTTCACTTCTAAATGGCCACAATGGCCAGGGCTGGGCCAGACTGAAGCTAGCAGTCAGGAGCTTCTTCCGGACTATCTTTCACTGCTTTCCCAGGCCAAAGCAGAGAGCTGGATTGGAAGAGGAGCAGCTGGGACATGAACCGGCACCCATATGGGATGCTGGTGCCGCAGGCGGAGGCTTAGCCCACTAGGCTACAGCTCAGGCCCTACCTCCATTCTTCTTCAAAGTGAACCTTGACCTAGAGGAAACTTATGCCTGGAGATATTAGCTAAGGATATGGTTCCACAACGTGCTTTTCAATGATTTCTCCCATGATGTTTAGTTATGTGGCACTCAAGCTAATGTTTACTGACAAACGTTTAGAAGTCACACTTGAAAATCTCCCTTAATAGCCACTAATTTAAAGACACCTTAATGAAGCATATGTCTTTAACTTGATAAAAATGGCTAAATGAATCCTTGAAAAACAATATGGTTTAAACTAAAACATATTCTTTTGATAATAAGCACACTTAGAAACATGGAGTAAACATTGCCAAAGATATGAATTATCAAGTTCTAGAACACATTGCACAGTATGAGAGGTTTGGAATATGCGTAAAATAAGAGTTCAGCTTTTATATTTTATATTTGTGAAATTATGTTTCAGTGATGGAATGAATATGCATGATTAGTTTCCCACTCATTATTAGACCCTAAAGGTAAGGAAAACCAATGAGGTGATAGTCTCAATAGTAAGTGACTCCGTTAATAAAGAGAATGCTTGGTGGAAAAACTGTAAATTTAGCCACAGAAAGAATTCTGTTTATGGAGATAGCATTGTAATCATCCCATCTAGGTGCTGGCTGGTTGAAGTCCTGGCTGCTCTATTTTGATTCAGCTCTCTGCTATGGCCTGGGAAAGCAGTGGAAGATGGCCCAGGTCCTTTGGCTCCTGCACCCACGAGGGAGACCCAGAAGAAGCTCCTGGCTTTGGATCAGCCCAGCTCTGGCTGTCACAGCCATTTGGGGAGTGCACCAGCAGTTGGAAGATTTCTCTCTCTCTCTTTTAACTTTAACTTTCAAATAAATAAATAATTGTTTTTTAAAAATATGAATATAGTTTTGTAATCTAAAATTTTGAATGATGAGTAGTTGTAGTAGTTTCAGATATGAATAAACGCGTCCAATTTATAAAAACGCAATTTCCCATTTGTCTTCAAGATATCAAGGCAGAGATGGTTACTAGTGAAATTTAAGGAAAATCTTTTGGATGGCAGTTGGTAAAAAAGTTGCATTTTGTTACATATCTTTTTCTACCATGATGGTCTTCAAAATCAAACACTAAAATAAGCTGAAGGTTTTATCAGGATATCACCTGTTGTTATACCAGGATTTAAAAAACAATTTGAAGCATATTCTGTTATATTTCTTTCTCTAAAAGTTATTCATGGTAACATTTATAGAGAAAGCAAAACTTTTTTTGGCACTACTAAAACCTAAACTCAAATTTCAAAATAGAAATTTTTCATGTTTGCCTTACATGATCTATAAATACAGGATTACTTGTAAATGATTTAGTGGAGTGGTTCTCAGCTGGGGAGATTTTGCTCCCCAGGGGACATTCAGCAGTGCTGAGAGATGTTTTGGCTGTCAGGTAAGTACTGCTGGCATTTGGTCAGCAGGGGTCAGGGTCACTGCTAAGCATCCTGCCATGGTTAAACATCCCCGGCCCCTGATGAAGAACTGTCTGACCCCAAATGTCAATAGTGTCAAGATTGAGAAGCCAAGCTTTAGAGATTACACACACACACACACATACACAGAGGTGCTTCAGAAAGTCTGTGGAAAATGGAATACAAAGATAAGTTTATTTTGGTAAAAACACGTGTGAAGTCCATGTATATGTGGGAACTTCAAAAATTTATGGAAAATGTATATTATGAAAAAACATGTACAGTACTTGAAAATATTTGACTCACGTGTACTGAATTTTGAGATATCGAAAACAGTTTCTGAGAGGCTGGATTACTAGTTGAGATTGTGTTTGGTGCAAAATGTCTAAGATTAGTTTCAAGTTGCCATAGAATTTTTATTCAAAGTGCCTCATTTTCCACCTGTGAATTATAACCGATGGTTTGACAAAAGAAGGACTTCTCAGCAAGCAAGGCCATCTTTGTATGATGCCTTTAAAGCTGATTTTTATTGTTGTGGTAAAAAAGTACAAAATATTTAAAACAAGTCAGGTTTTCATGAAGTTATAAACACATCTGCATTCAGAATTCAAGAATCTAATATTAAAATATGCACATGAAAATTAATTTCATGAAGTTTACACATACTTTATCGCCTACTAATTCCTAGGCCAAGAAGGAACTGAGAAACACAGCTAAGGATCCTTGTTATCAGGTGCATTGTCTGTCTCAGCCCCCTTCACAAGAACATTGCCAAGAGGAAAACAATTGCTAGTATATATCAATCACTTTATTTTCTTAGTAGAAATGATTAACTCCCAAAAAACCAGCAGATTCACAATTTCAGTATTAATGGTTACTAGAATTAGTCATCCTTTCTTCAATGCGGGGGTTTTGGATTACAAGTTCTTTTTATGTGATATTGCATCAAGCTTCTGTTTCCCTTCTGCAATGCCCTTTCAGATCAATCGTGAATCATGACTTTGCAATAGAAAGTTAGAGCTAACATTCCAAAGACAGTGGGTATTTGGATGTAGATTCATTCTCCCTCTCTCTACATCCCCCCATCCACCTTAGGATGGAATAAAGTACTTAGGCTGCTTGATTTAGACAAAGTAAGTTTTTTTTTTAAACACACATTTCCTTACAACTTGGAGCTACTGATGGCAGAAAAAGAAAATCATACAAAATTTCTATTTTAAAAAAAGCCCTAATTGCCCATGTCTATTATTTGTAGCTTAAGTTGTCATTTATAATGTATGTATTAATTGTATTCTACATACTATATTGTTTTATTTTAGTTGATGTTAAAGAATATGATGAGTGCTAAAGATATGAAAATGAAAATATTAAGTATCATAGATAACTTTGGTTTTTCTAGCTCTAGTATTCCTAGAGTCTGTAAATTCCAGAAAAGCAATTTTTTTTAAAAACATTCGAAATGATAGTTTGCAGCTATTTCATAAATTGATGTATGCATGTAAACCTGTGAAATTCAGTCTGTCTATTTTAGATATATAGGTGGAAATATCTGAAAAGAGTCATCTCAACATTTTTGAAAATCTATGTAGTCTTAATTTCCACTGCTGTATGTGATTTCTCCCACAGAAAGCATAATTCTTCAGGATGGTTACTAAACATGCCACTGCAAGAGGAGAAGAGGGTGTCGTGACGAGACACAGACGTTGGGGAGCTGACGGAACTCGTGCACCAGTAGGGGCCCTCTGCTCATTAGTCTGACAACAAAATGAAAGGTTACTTAAGATTACAGAGTATGGTATTGTTCATAAATAGAAAAAACAACCTCCATAAATGTTAGATATGCGAATGGCCAGTCTAGGCAATAAACTACAATCAGTTGTGGGTTTTCAAATGTTAATTACAGTTGCTAAATTGGGGAGGATTGGATAGTGGAGTACTTTCTTCCTGTCCAGGTTCTATAGGTAAATCTATGGGAGAAAAAGTAGGAAGGAATTGCAGCCTCATTGTCCATATGTTATTCCTGATTATTTGCTAATTTCTTTTTTTAAAAAAGATTTATTTATTTATTTGAAAGTCAGAGTTACACAGAGACAGAAGGAGAGGAAGAGAGAGAGAGGTCTTCCATCCGCTGGTTCACTACCCAGATGGCCGCAACAGCCAGAGCTATGCTGATCCAAAGCCAGGAGCTTGGAGCTTATGGGTCTCTCACATGGGTGCATAGGCCCAAGGACTTGGGTCATTTTCTATGCTTTCCCAGGCCATAGCAGAGAGCTGGATCAGAAGTAGAGCATCTGGGACTCGAACTGGTGCCCATATTGGATGCTGGCACTACAGGCAGTAGCTTTACTCACTGTGTCACAGTGCCTGCCCCACTAATTTCTTGCCTTTATGTTCTTTGTTTAAATAGTTAGCAAAACACAGCATCTTCCAACTTTTATCTGCTGCTCTTTTGAGATAAGTAATTTTTCTCAATTCTGAGTTTTTTTTAAAAGATTTATTTTATTTATTTGAAAGGCAGAGTTAGAGAGAGATAGAGATAGAGAGAGATAGAGACAGAGAGAGAGAGAGAGAGAGAGAGAGAGATCTTCCATCTACTGGTTTACTCCCCAAATGGCCACAACAGCCAGGGCTGGGCCAGGCTAAAGCCAGGAGCCAGGAGCTTCTTCCAGATCTCCCACATAGGTGCAGGGGCTCAAGCTTTTGGACCATCTTCTGCTGTTTTCCCAGGTGCAATAGCAGACAGCTGGATTGAAAGTAGAGCAGCAGGGACTGCAACCATTGCCCATGTGGGATTCTGGTGTTGCAGGTGGTGGCATAACCCATTATGCCACAACGCCAGCCCCAACAAGTATTTTTTAATATTGCCTTAGTAAGACCAGATTATTCATTGATTCCAGGTGAAGATCTAAGGTTAGAGTACTGATTACATCAAGAATTACAATATTTATTGGAAGCAAGTCATAAGAGGGACTAATTGGAAGTACACTAAGCACACTAAAACATCATAAAACTGGGACATACAGTGAACAGAAACAAAAGGGTATGACTTTTGATAGCTCTATTTCAAAAACTTTTTTGTTTTGTAAATTCATTTACTATGCTAAATAAGTTTGGAAATGCTTTCTCTGACTCTTGGAAGGACACTGACATTTTGGGATTGGAATGGTTCACTAGAAACACTTTAGATTTTCCACTTTTCATAACTTGATATTATTTTGACATCTTTTGAAGAAAATTGTTTTGTTCTTTCATTATCTTCAAAATGAAAACCATATAAAGCATGTGTCATTCTTGTTGCTTTTAAATCTTTCTCTAAGCCGGCGACGCGGCTCACTAGGCTAATCCTCCGCCTTGCGGTGCCAGCACACCGGGTTCTAGTCCTGGTCGGGGCGCCGGATTCTGTCCTGGTTGCCCCTCTTCCAGGCCAGCTCTCTGCTGTGCCCAGGGAGTGCAGTGGAGGATGGCCCAAGTACTTGGGCCCTGCACCCCATGGGAGACCAGGAGAAGTACCTGGCTCCTGCCCTGTGGTGGCCATTGGAGGGTGAACCAACGGCAAAGGAAGACCTTTCTCTCTGTCTCTCTCTCTCTCACTGTCCACTCTGCCTGTCAAAAAAATCTTTCTCTAGTCTGAAGTTCTTCATATAAGCCTGATATAATCTATTTGTTCTAGGTCATTTCACCTATAGAAATAGAACAATTAAAAAAAAAAAAGAACAAAAATTTTAAATGGGCTGGCACCGCGGCTCACTTGGCTATTCCTCTGCCTGCGGCGCCGGCACCCCGGGTTCTAGTCCCGGTTGGGGTGTTAGTCCTGTCCCAGTTGTTCCTCTTCCAGTCCAGCTCTCTGCTGTGGCCTGGGAAGGCAGTGGAGGATGGCCCAAGTGCCTGGGCCCTGCACCCACATGGGAGACCAGGAGGAAACGCCTGGCTCCTGGGTTCGGATCGGCGCAGCAATCGGCAACCATTTGGGGGGTGAACCAACAGAAGGAAGACTTTTCTCTCTGTCTCTCTCACTGTCTAACTCTGCCTGTCAAAAAAATTTTTTTAAATGAATAGAGTCCTAGTTTTCTCATTTCTCAAAACTACTAAGTGAATAAATAGTGGTGGTATGTGGGGGAGAGTGCCATCTTCTACAGAGGATTTTATAAAGTAAATTTTGGTCTATTTTTTCTATTCACTGATGGCCACTATATTAGTTACGGACCAATATTAGTCATTGTTCCTGTGTGTATCAGACATATAACAAAATAACCCACAGAATTTGGCATGGGAAAATATAATTTTTTCTAGTTCCTTATTGAAAGTGTTTGTTACAACATGCCTACTGTAAAATAGAAGTAAAAAGTGAGTGTTAAAACAAAAATACAGAAAGGGAGAGAAAACAAAGAAAACCCATAAGAAGGAATGAGGACCTTTCCTTAAATTTACACAAAGTCCTTACAAGGAAGATGACTCTACATTGTGCAAGTCAGTATGCTAAAACGAGAATTTAATAGCAGTCATAGTGTCAGATGTTGGCAGACCAAAGTTGATCAAGATGAGGTTAAATAAATCATAACCAGGACTTTAACACTCATGCATACAAACAGTTGGCACTGTCCCTGATAAGACAAAACAGAACCATTAACTCCAGTTTCAATAAATTGTGGTATAAATACATAAACACTCCACAAAGAGTTTCAGTTAATATTACAAAGGCTTCCATCCTGTTAAATAACAGTACAATGGCCTTCCTTGTATCAAGAAAACCAACCAACCACGATGGCCTTCCAAGCTTCTACACTTGCCCTTATCCAGTCTGTATCCCGATCTTGCCCTAGACTGAGCTAAGTTCCTTTAGGTCCCTCTTGTCAATTCACAATCCAATACACTTTGCTTTTCTTTGGAACACTCAGGAATCGTTGGGTCCTCTGTTGGACAGCAGGTTCTGTGAGGGCAGGGATTGTGTCTGCATTAGTTACTGCTGCATTCCTAGTGCCTAGCATAATGCTTGACATGAATGAATGAATGAAGGAGTGAACGTTCATTTCCTAAGACTATATTTTCTGCTTGTCTTGGTGAATGATGCTTTGGTATTGCTTTTGGGACTCATTTTGCAAAAAGAAGATTCAATTTGAAAATGTTAATTATGATGTGATAGTTCAATATTAGAAATGTAAGAGAAGTGGGGCTGGTGCTGTGACCGGAGAGGGTAAAGCCACTGCCTGCAAAGCCAGCATCCCATATGGGTGCCGGTTCAAGTCCTGGTTGTTCCACTTCTGATTCAGCTCTCTGCTATGGCCTGGGAACACACTGGAAAATGGCGTACGTCCTTGGGCCCCTGCACTTGTGTGGGAGACTCAGAAGCAGCTCAGGCTCCTGGCTTCAGAACGGCCCAGCTCCAGGCTTGCAGCCATTTGGGGAGTAAACCAGCGTAGAGAAGACCTCTCTCTCTGCCTCTCCCTCTCTCTCGGTGTAACTCTGCCTTTCAAATTAATAAATAAATCTTAAAAAAAAAACCAAAAAGAAAATGTTAAGAAAAGTGGATAAAAACGATTGCCTGTTTTTAATAACAGACTGCACTGCATGACTGACAGTGCTTATATTTTCTCGAGTGGCTTTCTTAGAATAGTTCCAAGAACTTCAAACATGCCTTTAATCCTCGCGTTATCTCTGTGATACGTGAAGCATTTTCAATATCACCATATAACAGCTTGGGAGGCAGGCAGGTCTGAAAGGCAGGAGTCCAGAAATGTTTTCCATTTGAGCAAATGTTTGTTTCTAGTTTTGGATTATACTCTTTCATTTGATGGACTCAAATTTGCTTTACTCAAGGGTTTTGTTTAAATTTTTGGGAGGATAGCTTCTTTTTCTATTGCATAGGTTTAAAAAATGGCTATATTTTCTTTTTAATCTTTAAATTTCAAGGATAGATGTTTGATGTAGTGGGAATTTAATATGAATATTAATTTATTGCTGTTCTCTTTAGTATCAGAGACAAGGAGAAAGACAGAATAAAAGTTCTGCATGATAGAATCAATATTGATTATACTATTTAAAAATGGCATATTCATTCAATAATGGAGTTACAAGTACTGAGAAAAACAGACCCTTCTTTTAGACTTATTATTAGGTGAATGAAGCTCAGGCCAGCAAAATGACTATGCAGGCTCCTACATCCCTCCATGTCCCGGCTTACAGGTGCATGATTGCACATGCCACATGCCCATGCACACCGTCCACATCTATGAAGCACTTTATATTCTTGAAATATGTAAAAATAACAATATATGACACCGTATTTCTGCATACAGATTGGGGGAGGATATCTCCCTGGATTAAGCAGAACTTTTAGATTTTCAGAATATGCATAACAAAGACCTTCTTGGAAAGATGTTGGAAAATTGTTGGCATTGAATTGAAGGTTACACAATTTTAAAGGACATGAAATTGAAAAATAATAAACCAAGTTGGTTGCTCCCATGAATCAAGTATAAAACTTGAGGGTCTTCCATTTCCAACATGCAGAAACCCATGATAGATTCCTTTCCCACTCTTGACTCCATTTAATAATAAAATGTCATCTTTTAGGAATCCTAGATATGACCATAGTAAGGCTCCCACTGGGCAATAAAATCTCATACCAATGTATAATGAGATTCGGTAATTTGATATATTTCATAAGTATTTTTATTTACTTGGGCTTATTTTTCTCCCCTAAAGATTTCAAGTGTCAGAAAAAATAACTTGCGGGGCCAGTGCTGTGGCGTAGCAGGTTCGAGACCCACCTGCTTCACTTCCCATCCAGCTTCCTGCTAATGTGTCCAGGGAAAACACTAGAAGATGGCCCAAGTCCTTAGACCCTTGCACCCACATGGGAGACCCTGAAGAAGCACCTGGCTCCTGTCTTTCAATCAGCCCAGCTCCAGGCATTGGGACCATTTGGGGAGTGAACCAGCAAATGGAAGACCTCTCTCTCTCTCTTCCTGCCTCTACATCTCTAAACCTGCCTTTCAAATAAATAAATAAACCTTAAAAAAAAAAGAACAACTTACAACCTGATGTAGAAATTGAGGAGACATTATCAATGGCTAGGACATGCTCAGAATGGCTAGAAAGAATGAGAAATACACCAATGAGCATGGTTTTATTCACAGAAGGCATTGTTAAATGCTCAATTTAGACTTTCTACACTGTTTCAATGGTTTTTTAGGAAACCAGAACTCTGTTGGCTGGTTTTCAAGATAGCTCTCAGTTTGTTTTCTTTGGTGGGCCCTGCAGCTTTGTATTGTGATCCAGTGGTGACTGCTGGTGCTTCAGGCTTCTCTTATCAATGAGGAGAACTGGCATATTGTCAAGTCTCACTGAAGAGCCCAGCAGACGGGAGTGCAACGGTCCAGCCAGGCACACACCCGCCCTGACAATGTTTTCATCTTCAGGAACATGGAAAGGCCTCTCTTGGGGAAGGGTGTAAGGAGACAAACCAATGGCCACTTCTGAGTGGGGGCTGGAGGGTGGGGGTGGGAATGGGACCTTTTTTGTGCTCTTATCTTCATCCACTTCCAAGTTTACTGATTTACTGCGGCTGGGTTCCAGAGGAGGTAAAAAGGAGAGGAGCAAATCACTGACTTGAGTGCTTGCAGCAGTGAATGAGTGACAATAGATGTGTTTCAGTGACACAGCTTTGATGAAAGCCTTGGTTCATGACTGGGAGCTCAATACTGTCAAGGCCAATGCACACAGTGCCTGCTCAGTCACACCACTGACCATTGAGGAAGAGTGCACACACAACATATCCCTCTTGCTCACTCATTCATTTACTCATTCACTCAACAAATAATTATCGAGGGCTACCACATGCTGGGCATTGTGCTGACCACAGCAGTAGAGCAGTGAACAAAATAGCCCCAAAACTCTGCCTTTGGAAGCTAACGTGCTAATGGAGCCCACTTTCAGCATTCTCTACATTCTTATGACACAGTAAAACAGTTAGATCATTTCCCAAGTGTCTTACAAAATGCATTGGCCACGCTCCTCCCCCACTGGCAAAACTCTTCTTGCCTACTCTGCCCCATCTTTCTCCCCTTGCCAGTGCCCCATGGCCTAAGGGTCCTGTCCCCTGTGTTGTCTTCCCCAAGGGCTCCGGTACACACTTGCTTTTTCTTTCTCTGAAATATTTCCCTTAGCAAAGGTTTAGTTCAGGATTTTCAATCCCAGGACTATAGATAGTTGGTGTCAAATAATTCTTTGGTTTGGGAGACTTTCCTGCACATTGCAGAATATTTAGCAACATCCCAGGCCTTTACCCAGTAGATGTGAATGGTACCCCCAGTAGTGATAACCAAAAATGTCTACAGACAATGCCAAAGGTCACATGGAAGACAAAGCTACCCTGGTGGAGAACCACAGGCTTAACCTGTAGGTGTTCTCTAGTTGAGTGGGGTGAAACAGGTGTGTGTTACATAAGATTTGAAGCTAAGGAGAGAGCACTTATATTTTATATCCTTGAAGGTGTACACTACAGATAATATAGAACTCAGTATAGGGTTACGAACCCCGGTCCCACCTCCAAGCTTCAAATTGGAGCCTTCAATCATATCTTAACACTTCTGATCAATTTTGAGTTGTACAGAATTGTAATTGTAAGCTTAGGTTCTAGAATTTGAAGAAATGCACATAAACATCATTCTGTTTTTAAATACTTGTGTAGCTGTGAGATACTTGCTTGAAATCTTTTCATCTATGCCAGTGGTTTCCACAGAAATATAATGCAATACACATTTAAAAGAGCAAAAATAGCAAATGAAATTAATTTGGTGATTTGATTTGTTTAATCAAATACAAAATATTATCATTTCTACTTGCGTTAATATAAAATTAAGTAAATATTTGACATTTTTCTTTTGCACTAAGACTTTGGAGTCTGTGTGTATTTCCTCTTACAGAAAACCTGATAGGGAGAAACCAATGATATCTCCACAAATGCCAAATAACAAATGCACCAATTCAAGAAACAAGAATAAGGAAGATAACATGACACCCCCAAAAGAACACAATAATTCAATGCTAGATTGTGAAGATGATGAGACTGAAGAAATGCCAGAAATGAAATTCAAAAAATTGATCACAGGATTACTTAGAAGTAATCAGAAGCAAATGCACAAACTAATGAAATCCATACATGATATGAAAGAAAATTTCTCCCACAAAGTTGAGAACTTAAACAGAAGTCAAAATGAAACCTTGGAAATGAAGAATTCAACAGAACAAATAAAAAATACAGTGGAAAGCCTCAACAACAGAATTGGTGAAGTAGAAGAAAGAGTATCCAACTTAGAAGACAAAGCCCAGGAAATTATTTAGTCAGACCAAATCAAGAAGAAGAAATTAGAAAACTAAAAAAACATGTTGGGAATCTACAGGATACTACCAAATGACCCAACATACAGGTTCTAGGAGTTCCTGAAGGCATGGAAAGAGAGAAAGGATAAGAAGGCCTTTTAAGTGAAATAATAACAGAAAATTTCCCCAATTTGGAGAAAGAAAGGGACATCCAAGTACAAGAAGTATATAGAATCCCTAATACCCATGACCAGAAAAGGCCTTCACCACAACACATTGTAATCAAACTCTCCACAGTAAAACATAAAGATTCTAAAATGTGCATGAGAGAAATGCTACATTAATTTCAGAGAATCTTCAATTAGACTCACAGCAGACTTCTCATCAGAAACCCTACAGGCTAGGACAGAAAGTGTTAAGAGAAAAAAGATGTCAATCCATAATACTTTAACCTACAAAGCTCTCATTTATGAATGAAGGTGAAATAAAGACCCACCATGACAAACAGAAACTGAAAGAATTTTGTCACTACCCGTTCAGACCTGCAGAAGATGTGTTACACACAGAAACACAGAAACATGGTCATTACTAGGGAAGAAGGTAAAGGAAGGAAATCTCCCAGGAAAAGTACAAAGGAAATCCAAAGTAAAAAATAGGAATATTTTGGAAAAATGGCAGAGCCAAGTCATTACTTATCAATAGTCACCTTGAATATAAATGTCCTTAACTCTCCAGTTAAAAGACACAGAATGGCTGAATGGATTGAAAAAAAACAAAACCTATCTATTTACTGCCTACAAGAAACACATCTCACCAACAAAGATGCATGCAGACTGAAAGTGAAAGGATGGAAAAAGATATCTCATGCTAACAGACACCAAAAAACAGCTGGTGTAGCCAGCCTAATAGCAGACAAGATAGATTTTAACACAAAATTTTTAAAAGAGACAAAGAAGGACACTGTGTAATGATTAAGGGATCAATTCAACAGGAAGATGTAACTATTATAAATGTATATGCACCTAATTACAGGGCACCTGGCTATTTAAAAGAAATATTAAGAGATCTAAAGGGAGGCATAGACTCAAATACAATAGTAATGGGGGATTTCAATATCCCACTTTCAGCAATGGACAGATCAACCAGACAGAAAATCAGCAAGGAAACAGCAGAGTTAATCGACATTATAGACCAAATGGACCTAACAGATATCTATAGAACTTTTCATCCTAGAGTTGCAGAAACAGTGCATGGAAACTTCTCTAGGATTAACCACATTCTAGGGCATAAAACAAGTCTCAGCAAATTTAAAGAAACCAAAATCATACCATGCATCTTCTTGGACCACAATGCAATGAAGCTGGAAATCAGCAACTCAGGAATCTCTAGAACATATGCAAGCACATGGAGACTGAACAACATGGTCCTGAATGAACAGTGGTTCATAGAAGAAATCAAATAATAAATGAAAAAATTTCTGAAAACACATGAAGACCACAATACAAACTATCAAAACTTATGGGATACAGCAAAAGCAGTGTTAAGAGGAAAGTTTATAGCAATTTGTCTTACATCAAGAAATTGGAAATGGACCAAATAAATGAGCTATCAATACATCTCAAGGATCTAGAAAGACAACAGCAAACCAAACCCAAAACTAATAGGAGAAAAGAAATATATTTTTTAAAGATTGATTGATTTATTTGAAAGTCAGAGTTACAAGGGGGCAGGGTGGGGAGCGAGAGAGAGAGAAGAAATAACTAAAATTAGAGAAGAAATCAACAAAATTGAAATTGAAACCAAAAAAAAAAAAATACAAAAGATCATCAAAATGAAGATCTGTTTTTTTTTTGAAAAAATAAACAAAATTTACACACAACTGGCCCAACTAACCAAAAAAGGAGATGGAAGACCCACATCAGTACAATTAGAGATGAAAAAAGAAATGTAACAAAAGACATCACAGAAATAAACAGAATCATCAGAAATTACTACAAAGACCTGTATGCCAACAAACTGGGAAACCTAGAAGAAATGTATAGATTCCTGGACACATACAACATACCTAAATTGAGCCATGAAGACACAGAAAATCTAAACAGATCCATAACCAAGAGAGAAATTGAATCAGTAATAAAACCCTCCCAACAAAGAAAAGCTCAAGACCAGATTGTTTGACTGCTGAATTCTACCACACATTTAAAGAGCTAACTCCAATCCTTCTCAAGTTATTCAAAACAATTGAAAGGGAGGGAATCCTCCCAAATTCTTTCTATGAAGGCAGCATCACTTTAATTCCTAAACCTGAAGAACATGCAACGGAGAAAGAGAACTACAGATGAACATAGACACAAAAATCCTCAACAAAATTCTGGCCAATTGAATCCAACAACACATCAGAAAGATCACTCACCTGGACCAAGTGGATTTATTCCTGGTATGCAACTATGTTTTAAGATTTGAAAATCAATCAATGTGATATATCACATTAACAAACTGAAGAGCAAGAATGATATGATTATCTCAATAGATGCAGAAAAAGCATTAGATAAAATACAACACCCTTTCATGATGAAAACTCTAAGCAAATTGGTTATAAAAGGAACATTCCTCAACACAATCAAGGGAATTTATGACAAATCCACGGCCAGCATCCTATTGAATGAGGAAAAGTTGAAAGCATTCCCACTGAGATCTGGAACCAGACAAGAACGCCCACTCTTGCCATTGCTATTCAATATAGTCCTGGAAGTTTTAGCCAGAACCATTACGCGAGAAAAATAAATCAAAGGGATTCAAATTTGGAAAGAGGAAGTCAAACTCTCTCTATTTGCAAATGACATAATTCTACATATAGAGGATCCAAAAGATTCCACCAAGAGGTTATTGGAACTCATAGAAGAGTTTAGTAAAGTAGCAGGATATAAAATCAATACACAAAAATCAACAGCCTTTGTATACACAGACAATGCCACGGCTGAGAAAGAACTTCTAAGATCAATCCCATTCACAATAGCTATAAAAAAATCAAATACCTTGGGATAAATTTAACCAAAGTTGTCAAAGATCTCTACAATGAGAATTACAAAACATTAAAGAAAGAAATAGAAGATAAAACAATGGAAAAATTGTCCATGTTGATGCATTGGAAGAATCAGTATCATCAAAATGTCCATTCTGCCAAAAGCAATTTACAGATTCAATGTGATACCAACCAAAATACTAGACATTCTTCTCAGATATAGAAAAAATTATGCTGAAATTAATCTGGAAACACAGGAAACCTCACATAGCTAAAGCAATCTTATACAGCTAAAACAAAGCCAGAGGAATCACAGTA